TTCCTGCTGGTGGATATTTTTAATTGCAGCGTACATGATTTCACTAATGTTTTTCCTAGGGCAAGAATGGATCACCTGGATCTGCAGGAGAACCTGGCCCAGCAGGTAACCCCGTAAGTACCACGAAGGGAAACCCATGCAGCAGGCAGTTACGTCAAGGAGGGTGATTGATGAAGTACAGATAGAGTGGATCATGTGTAGGTGTTTATCATCCCTGAAGTTGCCATGTCTGAAGACCAGTGATCTGCAGATCGCTGGCTGGCCGTGACATTGGAGGAGGTTTGGCCATGTTCCTGGAATGGAGCTGCTAGCTGGGTCGTCGTTTTCCCCAGCAAAAGTGAAGTGCGTGCAGAAAAAGGAAATGATTGATTACCTGGTATGGAACCAAAACAAAACAAAAAAAAAAGATTGGCATGCTTCATCCTCACCAGTGGATTTAATTTTGCCAAGCAGACTGTTCAGCCAGCAGAGAGCTGTCAGAAGGAAGGAGAGGGCCTCAGGGAGCTGGCAGCCTGCCATCGAGGAATAGCAGCAGCAGAAGAATCCTCCCCAGGCACTTGGGGAAAGAGCAGGCAGTGGGCAGTAAACCAAGATCAGGAAGCAGAGTGAAACCCCCCTGAGGCCATCCTGTGTGGAAGAACAGCATGGTAATGAAGAGCTGTAAGGAGGACAGTGAGGAGGTGTTGGGTTTTTGGTTTGGTTTTTTTTTTCCTCTCTTCTGCTGCTGAAAATTGTTCAGGATTCAGCACATCCATGCAAATGCACCTTTGTGTCCAGTAGCATTTATTGCAATGCAGGGCTCTTCCCTCTGTGCGTCCACCTAGACATTAGAGCTTGCTGGGCTCTTACATTGAGATAGAAACAAAGGCATAGCAGGAGAATTTGAAAATCTGCAGCGGGACTGTGCTCTCTGTGGCCCTTGCAATGCCATAAAGCAACCTCGGCTTGTGCCCTTGAGACTTGTGCCCTAGGCTTGTATTGCTCATATTGTCTCATCCCAAGTGGCCTCTGAAGCGAGTAAGACCTTTCTGCATGGGGCAGTGACAGCACAGATTACAAGTGTGGTGCTGCCTTTCTGCAGCCAAGAATTAGTGCCACTGCTTTTTTCTCCTTGACACGAACTTCTTCTTCCCTTCCTGGGACCACCACCCCTTGCTGTTGTCTTTACAACCTTCGTTTCTTCTTCTCATCACACCGACCCCTGTTCCCAAGTCCTCTTACTGCTTTTTGGCTTTCTGAGTCTTTAGCAGGCCACTGTGGCTTTGGGAGCTCCTGTGAGTGCCAAATGGGGGTCGTTTCTTGACCATCATGATGTTAGCACATTACCTAAACAGTCAGCTGGTGACCCAGGGACTCATCAGGCAGCTTCCTGCACAAACACAGAACTGCCACAGTCTGTGCTCTAGAGGATTTGCAGTCCAAAAATAACATAAGAGATTGAAACAGGATAAAAGTCAGATGGATGAGAAAGAGGAAAGAGAGTATTGGTCAGCGGAACAGGCGGTCATCTCATAAGTATCCTTCTCTGTCATTAAAATGAATTCTCTTTCATAAAGGTTATTATGGGAAGCATTTCCTTCTGCTGTACACAAATCCATTAACTTCCAGCCTTGTCTGGAAATTGCCTTCACAACGGGGTGTGACAAGCCAATCTATTGTATTTCTATTTTCCTAAAAAGGAGAAGAGAGAAAGGGTATCATGGCAATAAGTGTTTCTTTTCCACTTTCACCATCACTGACTAGTAATCACGAAGTAAAACCTGCCAGGAGCCTTCTCCTTCTGTATTTGCTGTTGGATTTTGCCCATCCCAATCCAGTTCTCACCCTTAAACCCGCACACAGCGATGCAGCCCAGCCCCAGCAATCTCCAGGGCTGACTGCGTACCTGAAAGCCACGTGCTTTGAGCCTGTCAGGCATTTTTTGAAATTGAACCTGGAAACAAAGGCCGAAGAGCTGTCGATCGGATTCTCAGGTTTGAGCAATAGGATCACCTGTGCTGTTCCCCTGTCGCTGCCCATCGCAGCATGTCCACTCCCCAACACCAACCTATAAATCGTGCAGCGCCAGAATAACTGCTGAAGATCCCTCCTTTCACCTCCATAACTGTTTTTGCAAGGACCCCACCTAGCTCATGAGCAACGCAAGCACTGTGTTTGCAGCCTGCTTTTCTAAACAACTTTGTTCTTCCTTTCCTTTCCTTGGCAGTTTTGGGAGTCCTGCTGCTCCAGTGGAATTTCCCAGTTCCGATGTTGTCTGTAAGTGCATGCTCTGGAAAGGAGATGTTAGAGAAAGGATTGCTAGTGTCTGTCTCATTTCTGTCCTAAGGGTCCTAAAGGAAATAAAGGAGAAAATGGCAGCCCAGGACTCCCTGGCTTCATAGGACCCCGAGGACCACCTGTAAGTATGTCTGAGTATGGATTAGACCCACTAATTACCTGCTTTAAATGTTGACTGATGAAAATGGGCCACAATCATCTTTAATAAGGTTAAAAAACCACATAAGCAGGAGAGCTGACAGATCCAGAAGCCATACTTCTTTATTTCCAAAGGAAACTGGACTGCAAAAATAGCATTTTTCTCTGGATGAACATTCTTAATCTCATTTACTGAGCTGGTACCTGTCAGTAAGCCCTAATAATATGTGCATTAATTGGACTGGTTCGATACTCTTCTTAATATGGATATGGGGTATGTAAGTTCTCAGACTGTATCTCTGCACGAACCCCAGAAGGGCTAAATAGAGAAATTTTAAGTGCTGATAATAATGCAGTTATTTCTGATATCTGCTGTCTCAAAGAAAATTCCTTTGTTACCAGCTATAGAGCAACACTACATTTAAGCAATTCTTTATCTCCCAGAGCATTCTGAAATAATACCTATACATGTAAAAATATCACAGCCTTGAAATCCAGTAACTTTAGCTCTTCCAAAGCAAGTAAAATATGTTACATTGCACTGAAAGGATGGAAAAGGTGAATGTTGGGTAAATATTTTTGTTTCTAGCTCTGTTGTGACTTAAAATGAGATTTAAAAGGATTTCGTGTGAATCTACCAGAGCTGAATCTTCCACAGGATGATTCTTTCTTTATTTTTTTTTTCATTTTTTAAAATGATTGGATGAGTTTTGTGATGAAAAGAGGAGAAAAATATTTCTCTGGAAAATTAATTGAAAGCAACAAATGCAGTGGCCATTTAAAACTGAAGTGGCCCTAAGGAATACTCGAGTGAGTCTGATGCTGCCTAATTTGGAGCTGATGTGATCACACGTCTGTGATGAGTTACATTACTCGTGCATAAGTGTGTAGATGCTAGCACTTGTAAAGATGCTGTATGTGTTTCCAGGTTATGGGGAAATATTATAGATATGATCATGTGTGTAGCTTGTAAATGGACTATGAAAATGGATCTTTCCATTCATGACATGGGGAAGTGGGCAGAATTCTAGCAATAACTGCTTCAATGTTTGTTTTGCTTTAGCAGTGGGCTTTAGGACTGCAGTGACTGTTTTTTGATTGAGTTGCTACAGTGCAAAATTCTGTTGCCTAATTATCAGATTTTAAATGGAAGGTATAGAAGAAACAAACTAATAGGGTGCTTGTTCTAATTATGTAATATAGTTCTGCAATACAGGCAAGCTTTCAGAATCAAACTTGCTTTAGCACTGGCTCTGTATCCATTGTCTTAGCTGGTGTAATACAAGATGGTACCTCTACTTACAAAATTTACTTCCCTTCCATCTTTAGAGTGTTACAACTGATACTGCTTAAGCTGAACTAGTCCAAGTAAAGTGTACAAAGCTTTGTGAGATGTCTGTATGAACAAGGAAAAGAAGAAAATAATAAATAAAATAAAATTTAAAAAAAATTTAAAAAATCAAGAATATAATTTCAATGAAACATCTGACCTGCTCTCATCTGATTTGTTAGAAATTACTTTGTGATTTACATTTACACAGTATGCAGCATTACTAAACAATGCTTTCTAAGTAGTAAGATGTGTCTTTCCAGGAATGATCTATAGCAGTAGGATAAGGATAAATCATCCAAACTCACTGCTGTGTAGCTGAAAATTTAGGCTCTAAACAGAAAGCAAGACTTGTGGTTAGTAGTTGGGGTCTTTCTTCCACCTCCTTGCAGTGTGAGGCTAAATTCACTCTCTATTTCTTAGGGAGAACCAGGAGAGAAAGGTGCTCCTGGAAAAGAGGTAAGTTAAATTCCCAGTTGTTTCAAAGTAGGGCTGGTGTCATGGGAAAAAGCCACCAGGGGTGCTACCTGGGTTGCAACAAATTGGGGTTTTTTTCCTTGAATTGTTGATATCTGAGAGCCAATGGAGACCTCTCAGGAATCTGTGGGACTGACAGGGAGATGAATTTACCCCAGGTCACAAGAATGGTTGCAAAGGCACATGTTTTATTATTTACTTTTATTATGGATAGCTCTTTTAATACTCTCCCTTATTGTATTGCAGGGTGCACCAGGGAAACCGGGTGAAGCTGGCTCCAAAGGAGAGAGGGTAGGTTAGAGAGTAGTATTAGTTATTTCATTATATCAAAATAAAAAGAGCTATTTTGAGTTAGGGACTGGGGCAAGGGGTCATTCAAGAGTGAAGCGTTGCCTGTAGAGATCTGCCGTGCTCCCCACCCTCCCAGCCCTCTCTTTAATCACTCTCCGTCAGTAGCAGTTTGTGGATCGTTTGTAATGCACCAGATGTTGTGTTCAGTAACTTTGCCAGCTCAGCTTGTTCCAGTTTCGCTGTGCTTGGAAAATCAGAAGTTTGCCTCTTGTTTTGTGATGGTAAGGTCATTTCTTTTTTCACTCAGGGAGAGCCTGGCATCAAAGGCGAAAAAGGCCCTCGAGGAGAAAAAGGCCCTCCAGGTGATCCTGGGATGCCTGGTCATAAAGGCCACCCAGGGCTGATGGGTCCCCATGGGCCCCCAGGAGACACTGGGCAAGTTGGACCTCCTGGTCCTCCAGGACAACCAGGATTTCCAGGACCGCGGGTAAGGTTGCCAGAGAAGGGCTTTGTACAGTAATTTTACTGCCACAATGTGTGATCAGAAAAGTATCTAAGATTGTGGTAAGGCTGAAGGAACCTGGAGCAAGTACGCGTTCCAGTGGACAGGAGGCTTTTTTATCTCTTGACACGTAAGAAGTGGAGCTATGACGTATCTCTGGGGGGTGTCGTGGGGGTGTGGGACTGTGTGGCCAGCAGGAGCAGGGATGTGATTCTGCTCCCCTCGAGCCCTGTGTGCAGGGCTGGGCCCCTCACTGCAAGAAAGACCTTGAGGGGCTGGAGCGGGTCCAGAGGAGAGCAACGAGGCTGGGGAAGGGACTGGAGGGAAAGTCCTGTGAGGAGAGGCTGAGGGAGCTGGGGGTGTTCAGCTGGAGAAGAGGAGACTCAGGGGGACCTTCTCCTCAGTGGTTAAAGCGTGGTGCTGGCAACAATGACAACACCAAGGTCACAGGTTCGATTCCCGCTCAGTCCCCATGTGTTGCCTGGTCTAGTTGAGAGGTGGTGTCCCTGCCCATGACAGGTAGGTTGGACTTGATGATCTCTAAGGTCCCTTCCAGCCTATGCCATTCTGTGATTCTCACTCTCTACAACTGTCTGAAGGGAGGGTGCAGTCAGGTGGGGTCGGGCTCTTCTCCCGGGCACCCAGTGACAGGACGAGAGGGCACGGCCTGAAACTGCGTCAGGGGTGAAACTGCACCAGGGGAGGTTGGGGTTGGATCTCACGCAGCCCTTCCTCACGGAGAGGGTGCTCTGGCACTGGGATGCACTGCCCAGGGAAGTGGTGGACTCACCGTCCCTAGGGGGGTTTAAGGAGAGGCTGGATGTGGCACTTTGTGCCCTGGTCTGGCCCATGTGGTTGGTGGTACTGGGTCATAGGCTGGACTTGATGATCCCAGAGGGCTTTTCCAGCCTCAACAACTCTGTGATTCTGTGAACTTCAGGAGAGCTGAGCAATCCAGACCTGTAGCCAGGGTAGCTAGTCCCTGACACCTTCTACACCTTAAAAAGCTAGATCAGGTCATGTAGCTATGGCCATGGGCCTAGAATCTGAAAAAGCTTCTTTCTTATAAGGATGTTGAAGCAGTGTTTCATATGGAGGTCTTACGCCTTCCTCGGCTGCTGGTTGTTATGAGAGACAAAATGCTGAGCTGTGGAAAGGTCACTACTCTATTCCTGGAAATCCTGGAGTCAGCTCATCAGAATTCATGAAATCCTATTTTGGTTTAATATTCTTTTTTTTTTTTTCCTGAGGGGAAACAGTCTTGCTACTGAGAGTGCGTGAGAGTAATGTAGGTACAAGAATGAGAAAAACTACCAACTAGTGAAGCCACTATGGCTGTCCTGAGAGTGAATTTGAGATTACCTCAGAAGGGAATAAGAGTGAAATAATCTCTGATGTAAAAGCTGGGTGAATTTAGACAAAGCATTTCTTTGTGCATCTCAGGAACACAGAGATTTGATTAAATCCAGTGATGATAATAGGGTTAAATCTTGAAAAGATGATTTGTAAACCTTCAAATTATGTTCCACAATCATGTTTACTGACTGTGATATTCACTAAGAGCCATCACAAATGCTTAGTACTTAATAACAAAATCATTTCTTTTGTTACAAGTGAACACATCTTTTTCTCATGCAAAATTTGTCTTGGGAGGAAGGCAGCAAATAGACTGACTCTATACTTATCAGCAACATTATTGGTTAAAATTGAAGTGTCTCTTACCTATTTAATAAAATCCACATTCCTTAATGAAGAGTAACTTCTGATTAAGAAGACCTCAGCAGATTTTATAAACAGAGGACACAGACCGTGTCCTTGTATATTAAAAGAACAGATGTGAGCAGAAAGCAACACTTTCATGCAAGTAGCTCATACACGAAAGAATGCAGTCTTTAGGTTGATCAGAACTTTATTCAAAACTGGCAGAAATTTGCAGAATAATTTTAGGAAAAAAATTCTTTATGATTTATGAAGGAAAACATTTGATCTCTCTGGTTCAAAATTGATTTTTTTTTTTAAATATAGCTACATTTTTGAGTTTATGCAAAGACAAGATTCTGGTTACCCTAAAACCCGTTTTTTTTTATTTTTGTGGAAAACCACAACCTAAAAAAATTCTCCTTCCAATTACCAAAAATGCTTTCATCATTTTTTTCAGTTGCATCATCCAGAGGTGTTGTTCACCTGGCTTTGGCTTTTGACAGCTACTATAGCTGTACAACAGCAGCAAAAAAAGCACAAAAGCTGAGAGAGCAAATGAAAGATGCTGTCCCTTAGTGGGTGGGTAAGAGACCAAGGCCAGGCAGCCACATCCCTTATCTCCCTTCAGCAGCCTGAAATCAGGCAAAACAGAATCACAGAATCACAGAATGTTAGGGGTTGGAAGGGACCTCTGAAGATCATCCAGTCCAACCTTCATCCCAGCATACCTAACCTTGTACTCTTTGGAAGAATAGGTATCACGTGCAGTAAACTGGCTTCTCTTCCCTGAGATAAAGGCTGTTGGCAGGCTTGGCATCCAGTACAAGTCTTTAGAGCAGGTCTAGACACCCACCCTAACTGCCCCAGGGGCACACATGCTTCTCTCCGCAAGGAGACTTGCAGTCATAAAATCATAGAATGTTTTGGGTTGGAAGGGGCATTTACAGGTCATCTGGTCCGACCTTCCTGCAGTGAGCAGGGACATCTTTCACTAGATGAGGTTGTTCAGAACCCCATCCAGCCTGACCTTGAATGTTTCCAGGAATGGGGCATCTACCCCTTCTCTGGGAAACACTGGTCCAGTGTTTCACCCCCCTCATTGTAAAACATTTCTTCCTTACGTCTAGTCTAAATGTACCCTCTTCGAGTTTAAAACCATTACCCCCTGTCCTGTCAGCGCTGAGAAAGGGCATAGACTTGCCAGCAGGTTGAGAACTGTGTTGGCAGCCCCTTTACATTCGTCTTTCCAGCAGGCCCCGCAGCCTTGTGTGCGCTGTGGGTGATGAAATGAAACCCACTAAAGCCTTTGTGGAGGGTTTAATTTGCACATCCCCTGGCTGTGATTATTATGTCTTGTCATTGCTGTGATTATTACTCCCTCTAGGGAGAACCCCCGTCTCTGGAGACTTTGAGAAGGCTCATCCAAGAGGAGTTAGCCAAACAGCTGGATGGTAAGCAATCAGCTCTGGGAAGCCAGAAGATGTACCTGAGAGTATGAAAGATACTATCCATGGCTGTGCTGCCACCTGAACCTCTCCTGCTTATGGAAGGCAGCGTTGCCTGGAAGGAGAAATGTGTAAAATGGAATGTGCTTAGCAAGCTTTACCGTTCACCAAGCTTGGTGTTCCCAGCAATAGCACACGGGCTTTCTCCCTTCTGCAACCCATGGCCATTGCCTGTGCTAAGCACCTCGTAGCATTTTGCCACCAAAACAGCTTTGCTGCAGACTCCTTTCTGCAGATACCTGGGCTGAGACAGTAGGACAAGAGAAGATACCACTTCAGACAGGTTAATTTGGGGCCCTGGAAGAGAAAATAATCAGAGTAGGACAAAAACGTGCTTTTGAGGTCTCAGCTGGAGGAGAAATATTCCTGATTTCTGCTCATCAGTCTGAGAAGAGGAGGTGGAGTGGATGCAGGCTGCTGCTTCTCTTAAGGTACATGAATTGCAGGCCACTGCTGACCTGCTCTACAGTGAGATGCAGAGCTGTAGTGCTGCTTCTGGCACAGCTCTTGGAGCAGCTGACACGTAGTTGCACGCATTTTCCTCTGTGATAAATTTCAATGGAGTGATTTATTTGAAGGATTTTATTTACACATTCTCAGAGTTCAAGTTCGACACCAATCTAAAAGCATTCAAGATTTTGGATCAATGAAGAGAAGATAGAAAACCCTTCTCCCTCTATCCTGTAGGATGTTTTTCTGATGCTGAGTATGACTTAAGAGCTCTCTAAGCTGTTCAGGGACTTAATATGGAAGTGACAAGCAATGTGCCTGCTTGGAAATTGGAGAATATGCTGATGCAGGGAGCTTCCTTAGTTACAGTTTCTGACTTCAGAGCAAGAGATTGGTACATCAGCTTTAACTCCACATGTGTAACAGCCCAGAAAAAGAAAAGTAAGGCTTCTGCCTCCAGAGCAGCCATTTGGCATCTTGCTCTGTGTAGCAGAAGTGGTGGAAATAGGCTCTTCTATTCAGACCAGCAATGATTCCAGTTTGGCAGAAATCCACAGCTGAAGGAAGGGACATTTCAGATCCTTGGTGGACAAGGAGCAGAGGGTGAGAGAGGTATTTAGCATTAAGTGTGAAATTTAGGAGTTGTTTAAAGCTACTGAGAAATGAGCTTTAAATAATTTAGAGACAGTCAGGGAGCCAACATCATGGCTTATGGGGAAGGACTGTGTAGGGACAACAAGTGGGTGGCTCTGAAAAATTGATCTGTGATAATACTTGGACTTTTCTGGGCAACTGGTACTGGCTTTCCATCTCTTGGAGCACCAGCCTTCTAGTCTAACAAACTCATTTCCCTCTCTTCACAGCCAAGTTAGCCTATCTCCTGGCTCAGATACAGCCTGCACATGTAAAAGCATCCCATGGCAGACCAGGACCTCCTGGTCCCCCTGGGAAGGAAGGACTTCCAGGAAGAACTGGCCCTCCAGGAGAGCCTGGCCGGCCTGGACAGACTGGATCTGAAGGGCCACCTGGACCAATGGGTCCCAAAGGTGAGTGAAACTTGGTGTGTTTGGGCAGTCCGATAAAGGGATGTGTTCACTAAACTTTAGCATCCACCTCGCCTGTTAGTAACATCTAAGTGGTCCTCAAAATGCACGTGTTAGTGCATTAGTCTGTGGTGAATGTGACCAGCAGTTGCCAGTGTGTTCCACTTGTGGCCATAACTGGAGCAGGACAAGTCTTCATTCCCACTTAACATCCCATCTCAGAGGATTGGCCACAGCTGGGAACTATTTTTAGCAAATACATTACCTTCAGTATGGATGGAAGATCTGTGGTAGTATTCTTTAATTCCATAGATAATGCTCATCACTTCATTACTTTTCTTTCCCTCTCTGCAGGAGACAGAGGAGCAAAGGGTGAGAAAGGTGACACTGGCATTGGCCAACGAGGGGAAATAGGTCTTCCAGGAATTCCAGGTGTGTTTATTCAGAACACCCCACAAAACAAATCACTGAGAACCACTGCAAGGACACAGGTCTCTGCCATTTTAGATAGACTATCACGATAACATAAATACAGCATACACCATTTCTGCAGAAAGTGGCCCAAAGGGAAGAAATATATAACTAGCATCATATCTGGCTACCTTAGTTTCTTATCCTGATTGACAGGTATAATGATCCATCTCAGTAATAGCTAGTTTAACTGACCTTTAGGACAAATCCAAAGTGAAGCTTTAATTACTAGATACACTGTCGAGTGTCCTATCTGCCCTTGCCAGAATCTTGTTGTCACCCAAGCCGAACCCAGAGATCCAGGCAGCTTCAGATGTCATGAAAGATCATATCCAATACCAATGCCTCAGGCATACACCTCATGATTTACCTTTGCTGACAAAGAAGCAACAAATATATTTTGCTTCCAGTTTGAACTTAGGAGCCATTTATTAGTTTTACCTTTACTCTGCTTTATTGGGGAGGAAGCTCTGGGAAGCTTTCACAACTCAGTGGTCTGCATTTGGCATACTGGCCCTGCATTGCCTTAAAATAACAATGGCCCCACTGTGCTTCACACAAATGAGTTCTCTCACAAAGCTGACTCTTGCCTCAAGCTTTCCCATCCTCACTCCCTCTCTATGAGGACTGTATGTCATGAGTTGGCTCGTGCAGCTGCACTTCAACGTGATGGTAGAGGAAGAGCAGCCAGAGCAGAGTTGTGCAGCCCAGGGATGCCGTAGAGACTGGAAATCTTTCTCTCCGAGGAGACACACTTGTCACATGCTTGTAGATATGTGCTAGCGAGACCCCAAATCTGTGGAAGCTGGTGTCTGCATCCCAGTTTGGCAGCACCTCCTGTGATGTTGTGCTGCTGAGTACTGCACCCTGGGCGTATCACTCACCAAGGGCATCCTGTTTTTATTTTAGGCCTCCCAGGGGAGCCTGGCTATGCCAAAGATGGGATGCCAGGACCACCTGGCCCTCAAGGTGAAGCTGGTGTCCCTGGTCTCATGGGTCCCCAGGGACCTCCAGGAGCCAACGGACAGTGTGACCCCACTCAGTGCGCTTACTACGCAAGCCTGGCTGCCAGACCTGCCAACGTCAAAGGGCCTTAGCTTGCATGGGGTATCCCTAGACTTGTTTTTAAAACTTGAATTCGTCACGCCTGCCCAGAGCTCTCAGATGTCTTCAGCCGTGTTTCTTTTGTGGGAGGCCTTTTAAAGCCAACAAATGCTGCCGGTCGGTCAGATTATTTTTATGAATTATTGTTATTATTATAATTATTATTATCTTTGATGTGATATGTGAATTTGTTTTTGTTTTCTCTAACATCAGGGCATATTAAAACATTAAAAAATAAGTAGTTTTTTTCTGTTTTGAAGAGCATACAATATCAATGCATTGTGTAGCTGTTTATGCAAAATCATTCCGATGCCAAATTTTGTGTCTGTTTTCTGGTTAATTTTTTTCCAAAACTTTACCCCTCTCCCTTTAAACTGATACCAAATCCTGCAGCCCAGGGCATTAACTGTGAGACACAGGCTGATCACAGGATTGTTGGTGCCATGTGCCATCCCAATGGAGGGGAGGAAGGTAAAGCCATGCCAAAGCTGGAAAAGAGGTCTCCAGTACATTCAACTCACAATGGACAGAGAGTTACGAACAGCCAAGTGTGTGTTTCACAGAAGATCTCTCTGAAATTCAACCATCTTCTACCCATAAGTGGATCCTGTAAGAGCTACTTTTTATGGGAATGTGTGGGAGCTTACAGTAAGGCCTGAAGAGACCTCAGAGATGTTCTAAACCTCACTGCTCCCTGTGCAAGAGCTTCAGTACTCAGAGGGTTTGGTTCTACCAGATGGAGCTAATCTTCCTCCTGTGAGGGAGTTGCCTCTGCAAAAGGCATCAGTGCTGTCCTCTGTCAGCTCAGGGATGCCAAATCCCCTGTTCGTGGTCAGCGCACACGCAGCTCCGTACCACTGCTTCACCCAAAAAAAACAAGCCAGAGCCACACAGAAAGTCCTCTGGTATCTCAGGAAGCCACATCACTGTTTTGGATGATCTACCATAACAATAACTTGGTAAGATCATGTTTTAGAAGGTAGGTGAGAAGCTGCAGGCTGGTCTAAAAGGAGGTTGATCTCTGATGAAAGGGTCAGAGCAGAGAGGTGTTCAGAAAGCTGGAGGAAGTTGTGTTTGAGGGTGAAAGCAAAATGTCAGGCACTGGCCCTTTTTTCCTATCAGCTAATTGCCAAAATCAACCTGAGAATACAAAGAGAAAGTGAAGAGAGGATGGAGTCGGAAAAGGCCTTCGCAACAGGTTCCAGCAAAGCAGCTGCATTTTCAAAACTCTTCTGCACAAAGCAGTTTGTCGTGAGAGGTCAGAGTAATGAACCTGACACAGGCACTAAGTGCTGAACATGTTCAGAAATCTCATTAGGGCTTTGGAGACAGAAAAGCAGCACCCTGCCCTGCTGGCCCGTTTACCAGATGCCTTGGTCTTTCCAAGCTGACTAAGCCAAGCAAAGTCACAGCTGTCTATAACCACCCCAGAATGAGAGCCCGAGGCTAAAGCCCAGAGATAACCGTTTGCCAGCCTTGGAGTCTTTTTCTTCTCCAGTAGCAGATAAAATTTGCTTCTGTTTTACTGAAAAGTTAAATTAAATAACATGTTCACATGTTGCGGTTAAACAAAGTCTTTACTGTGTAGCTCTCGGTGGTGCTATTTTTGCTATTTCCTGTGCAAATAAACTCTTTGATTTGATTTTACCGTGTTTCTTGCTGTGGAAAGGCCACTCAAAGAGAAAATAAGAAGTGAAAAGCTTACTGCTTCCACGGGACTCTCAAAGGTATATCTGTCCCTGTACTGCATGGTAGGTTGGCATGCTGTATTTCAGTATTAAGCAAGAATGCTGATGACGTTATTTAGCAGCACCATTTTTCCTAGTGCAGGCTGAGTGAGCTTTCATCCGTCTAGTGGTGAGGCAGCTTAGGGTTCCTACTCAAGAGATACCTGCCAACATGACACGAGACACCCTTCTGAGTAAATGTGATGGCAATGAGAAGGTTTTATGAAGGTCAGACATATTAACTGGGCCATGATCGTGTGACATTTAATTCCTGTCATGACGGTGGCTCCTCAGCCTCTGTAGGTGGTCTCTTATCATGTGTGACTGCATGTGCCACACGTGACCTAGACTTCAACACATTAACATGTTCCAGTGCGCCATGCAAAGGGCAGGTAACATAATGATATTCTGTTAAACAAAATACAGGGTCTTTTACCCCCATGAGATCACAGAACCATAGAATATTTTGGGTTAGAAGGCACCTTTAAAGGTCACCTAGTCCAGCGCCCAAAGGGTGAGATGGTGCAAATGAAGAAGATCTTGGGATGTGGTTTTTTGGGTTACCTTTTCATTTGAATGTCTGTTGGAGACATTGCCAAGAATCCGCGTTAGGAACACGAGGGACACAACAGTGTCTTTAATAGCGGTTACAAGATCTGCAGGAGTGAGTGAGGCACAGACTATGGCTCTGCAACTTCTCCACCCAGAAAAGAGGAGGGATGCAGCCTAATTCCCTTTGCTCCAGCATATTCCTTAGCTTATGGTTGTCTGCTCAGTCTGTTCCTGAAGACACGCCACACTGTCTCTGTGCCCTGAATTCAGTGGTGCCATTTCCCTGCTTTTTCTTAAATCCCGTTTTCTCTCCAGCCAGTTAAACGGCATTTACCGAGCATCATCTGTCTCGAGTGAGAAGAATGCAAGATACATGCTGCAGACCCAGATCGAGACCTGTGTTTACAGCCACCCAGTTTCTAGGGCTACAGTTGTCAAAAGGGTGGCTTCTATAGCTGCCACCTCCTACAGAAGCAAGCCCTTTGGCAATGTGCCGAAAAAGTCATCTGCAATAAAAAGTAAGAAAGGAGGCGGGTATTTGCAGGATTTCTGCCCTTGCAAGCTCGAACACACAAAGCTGCGACAGTTTTTGCCTCAGTCGGTTTGTGAGTATTTACAGTCTTGGAAGATTGGCCCGAGATTGCTTTCCAAACGAGATCTGCCATCAGGGCAGACCGTGAACCTACAAGTACAGCCCTGGGCACGGTCAGAACCTGCCCTCCAGAAAACAGATGCTCCTGTGCCTGCGCAGGTGACGGTGCGTGCTGGAAGGTGACAAGCAGACGTTTGCTGTCCGTCCAGCATCATTCCTGCAAGGTGACCATGCAGGCAGGAGGTGGCAGGTAGGGCAGGGTCGGTGCTAGTGACCTCTCCTCCAACTGCTCTTGAATGAGGGAGGGCTGTGGTTTTTGCCTATCAGAGTTTGTGTCTCTGTAACAAACCAGATGGTGCATCAAGTCCATTCACTGAGCCTGAGGTTTACATTGGTATTTTTATTGGATTTTTTTTTTTTGGATGGTCCTGTGGTAAGTAAAATTGCATTAGCGAGCCAGACAGTATATTATCTACATATTAAAAAGGTGCTGAAAACGTTTTTTGTTTGTTTTTAAATCAAGTTGGGGATTATTGCAATTATAGCAAACAGCAAACAAACATGAAAATTTTTGCCTGTCAAAGAAATAAATTAAAACCCAACCAAAAAAAAAAAAACAACAGAATCATTTAGGAAAAAAATCCTTGTTTTGCGCTAAATTATTTAACAATTTATACTTGTTTTCTAAACAGTTTTGAATTAGCTGCAACTTGGAAGATGAATTAGGGAATAGATTAGTTCCCTTTGTGACTTGTGAGCGGCTCTTCTCAGTACAGGTTTGTGATGCTGTTTCCCTGAGCTGTCCTTTTCCCACCTCTTATTGTTCATACGGGATAATTAAACTGCATGAGGCTGAATTCTGTTCTGCATGTTTATTTGGAGACATTCAATCAAAGCAAAACTACTCTGTTCAGGACTGAACTAAATGTTTATTTGAGTTTTTTGGTCCAGAGAAACAATGAAAATGCTGTAGCAGCTAAGCCCAAGCTCTGTGCTCTGACCACAAAACTGGCTGGGAGATGAGCACAGCTTTTACATTCTGGATAATCTTAAAAAAAAAAAAAATTAAGGGTTTTTTTTTTTAAAAAAGAGAAAATAGAGTCTACTGATGGCTCAGTCTTTTTATGTGGAAACTGGGCAAGCACTGCCCTGCTACAGATTGCATTTGGCAGCTTCTGGAGCAGGACTTGATGCCTGAGCATAGCTGGGTGTCACCATCCAGCATTGTCTTGGGTGCCAGAGACACTGACAGGGGACTGGCTGAGTCCCTAGGGGACCTGTGAACCTAGGGGAGGCTTCCCCGATCTGCACTGGGTGGGCCTAGGGGAGATAAGTGTCATGTCAGATGATGTAAGATGCTTATGTCTGGGTACCTGAATCCCATGCTCAGCCTCTCACAGTGGGATTCAGAGTCAGGCACCTGCACTTTGGTGGCTCCCGTGTGAGCTGTGGAGCCTAGAAAGTGGATCAGCTCACCCTGAAGTAGTCAGGTGAAGCACTCTGGGATGTGTTGCCTACATTAACTAGGTCTTCATGGAAAAAAAAAAAAGATCTTCTGGTAGCTTTCTTTATCTTCTAGCATTACTGGCATATGTCTCCACTGAGTTGCTGTAGAGTTATATGTGTTACGTATGTGACATATAAATCTGTACTTCCCTTGTGCCAGGGAATAACAGGAAATAATTCTTAAAATGACAGCACTTACTCAGCAGTTACAACGTAGACTGAAAATATCTACTACCGCCTCTGGCAGCCTCTGTGAGCTGGAGTCCAGTGCTGATGAGGGTTAAGGTTGCTGCTCCATGGTGTGGGGAGGAAGAGCAGGAGAAGGGCAGAGCCAGCCTGGGGCAAAGGCAGGCTCTGGCCCGGATCTGCAGCCCTGCATGGGGTGAGCATCTGTCAGAGACCACGAGGAGTCCTCCTTGCTCCTGTCTCTGCAGATCCAACACTGCTGGGGCAGAAAAGTCTCTGCATCGGCCACCCAGTTGCCTCCTACATCCCTATTTCAGCACGTCTAGGTCGTTGGGGCAGTAAGGGTCCATCAGAGACCGAACTTAACTTTCAACACCTTTGTAAATGGTGAAGTGGAATCAAGAAGAGAAAGCCTGCTTAGCTTCATCAGTCTGGATGAAACCTGGAAGTCATAAAGATGGATTCTGTCTTCTGACTTTTGAAATGGGAACAACTGATTGGAAAATCATGAAGATATGAGGAATAGGAGACTGGTTTTCAGAGTCGCTTTACAAAACAGATTTTTCCTGGGGGACTATCTTCTGAATACCTTGCGTAGCTTGACTCAAGAATATTGACACTGATAATAAGCTCCTTGGAGTTTGTCTGAAGTGAGTATGGGAATGTCCTGC